TAAGCGTTGAAACACAGGTTGCAGGAGGAATGGAATTTTCAGCCCAGAGAAGAAAAGGCCCTCCAAAGCTATCTCTCACTTACAGTGCAAACATTCTTGGAATGCTTGGTAACAGTCCGGCAGCGTGCAATATGTTACCAAGCCAGCAAGACATGTCTGTTTCCCAGGGGTCCGTGGCAGGTGTCTGGTGCCCAGCCCAGCTTCCCTCTAGGAGGAGACAGTCCTAGCCACCAGCTACTGGGGATGCCAGTCGTTGGTGCTCCACGCCCTGTCCCTCTGTGAAAACGGCCTCTGCCATGGCCGTGTTGCCTCCCAGGAATAACCTGGTGGAGGAAAGGAAGACCAGGTGCCCTCCCATCAGGTGAGCAGCTCCAAGTGGCTGTGCCAGCTCACAGTCACCTCGAGGGACCAGACAGGTCTTCACTGCAGCCACAATGGGAACGACTTCTCCCTCTGCCTAATCCTGTCATTCTCATTTTCCTGCAAGGGGTAGCAGATAAGCAAGTGGGCAGTCAGGCTTGGCAGGGCTAGGAATGGGGCAGGTACAGAAAGACACGGGTGCTCTCAATCTAGAACTGTGGGGTGTCTTAGTCTATTTCCTGTTGCTACAACAAAATGCCTGAGACTGGGTAATTTCTAAAGAATAAAAGTAAAAGCTGGGTGTGGTAGCACATGCCTATAATTCCAACACTTGAGAGCCTGAGGCAAGAGGATCACTGCAAGTTTGAAACTAGCCTGAACTGTATAGTGAGACCCCGTCTCAATAATAATAATAAGTAAAAGTGATCTTAATAATAATAATAATGAAAGTGATCTGGTTCATGGTTCTGGAGGCTGAAGAGTCCCCTAGCATAGGACTGGCACCTGGTAAGAGCCTCCACGCTGCCTCACAGCACGGCAGACGGCGTCCCACAGTAAGACAGAGAGTGGCCATCTTTTTGTGAAGCTAGCAAAGCCCTCATGAGGGCGCCACCCTCACAACCTCATCTAGTCTTCTGTATCTCCCAAGCCCCACCTCCAAACACCACCAACTATGAACTTGGGAATTAAGTCTCAAACACCAGAACTTTGAACACATTCAAACCGTTCCAAGGAGCCAAGGTGCTTCCCAAAAGAGGTAAACTGAGGCAAGATCCAACATAGAGACAGAGCATGAGCAAACACGATCTTTGACCTCCAGGCAGTCCTAAATGGAAGAAAGAAAAAGACGTGGATCCTGTAAATGTGCCCAGGCCGTGCTGACGGGGCCTCAGAACAGACCTTCCGCTCTGCCTCTGTTCTTCCAGACCTCTGGATCCCTGCCCAGAGCCTGCACGGATAGCACTCCTGATTCGCAATCAGGACACCCCGGCCGCATCACAGGGAGCTGGGATAGAAACTGAGGATTCAGTTTTGCTGCCTCAACCCCCATTTCATCCAGAGTGAATCTGAGCTCAGAGATTAAAAACTCATTCCCCAACAGGAAATGAGGAGCCGATGCCAGGACCGCCCGGTTGAGAAAATATGAACAAGATGCCTCGTGCTGTTGAACTCCCAACTTCCAGAGCCTCGAGGGAAGGCAGGAAGATGGGCCCATATCCCAGGCACGCCCACATTTTGTTCTCCGCTGGCTTCACCCCCAGAGTGTGGGGAGTCCTGGCCACAGCAGCATCCACAGCTCTAAAGTGCCCAGGGTCCCATGGTTACAAATCACTCATCCAAGAGCAGAGAAGCCAGGGAGTGATACGGAGTGAGCACTGCACGGTGACCGAGCCTTGTAATTGACTGACTGTGTGATCTTAGCAAGTCTATCCATCTTTCCAGGCTTGTCTTCTGTTACTGTGACTCATTGGTTTGGTCTAATTTAGTTTTTCAGGGTTGAGGATTGAACCCAGGGCCTCCTGCATGTGAAGCACGTGCTCTACCACCAGGCTCCAACCCCAGGCTTGAGCCTTGGTGTTTTGTTTTGTTTGGTTTGGTTTGATTTGGTTTGGCCATGCAAGAGGATAGTTGGGTTTTGGGACTAGATTAAATAGTTTCTTCCATTTAATTCTAATTTTTAAGGAAGGAAATTGAAAAGTTTCATCTATATGATCAGAATCTTCTAGCCAACAACTGAGGTCTCTGATCAAACAAAAAGAAACTTGTTCTTCCTAGGACAGTAGGGGCCCAGGGAAATGCATGAGATGTTACTTCAAACCCATTCTGATGTCCGCTTCTGGCCCCAGGTCAGGGTGAAAGTTGGCGAAAGCTTTGGAAGTGTCTCACTTTTCCCACCTTGCTGGGAAGCTAAAGGAAGAAAGGTTTATTTAGGTCACAGTTTGTGGAGGTTTCAGCCAATAGTCAGCTGGCTCCAAGGCAGGGGGGCTGAGCAGAGGGGCAACTGTTCAAGGCAGCAGAAGACAGCAAAAGCTACCAGAGCAAAAAGAGGGGAGAACACGCCTCTTTTCCCCGTTATATTGTAGGCAGGCCGTCTGCCTTCTTGTGGGTATAGCATTTACAACGCCTCTGTGCCCTCTTCTTGCATAGGGTCAGGATGTTCACAAAGCGAGGACCCTGGCCGCCTGCTGAGTCACTTAGTTAAACTTTGAAACTTCTCCAGTTGACACAGTGAACAACATCCCAGAGAGGCAAGGGCATGTGCCGAAACACACTGGGGTGTAGCACCGAGGAGTGACCTAGTTAAGCTTCTAACTCCCAAAGTTGACACAATATGTCAGCCACTCCAGGAAGCATTTTTTTTTATTTTAAAAAAGCAAAACAGAAAAAAGGATCAAAATAATACAGAATTTCAAAACAAAACAGTAAAAAATCAGCACTAGTTTATATATTGTGTATTGTTGTCTTAAAGGTACTTGTTCAGGTTACAAGATCTAGGCATAAAAAATGATGAGACAATCAGACAATGACAGCACAAACTGTTCTTTCTGATGAACTAACAGAGAATTAGTAGTATGGTACTCTATCTTGCCTGTGCATACACACATACAGTTATATGTATACAGCTACATACATATAATCTTTTCCTTTCTAGGAAGCATATTTTTTTCTTACAGGTTTAGATGCCAATTTAGGTCACCTCTCACCTGCATTCTCCTGCCCAGACTACCCACTCTGTGCTCTCAGCGCCATGAGTGTGCTTCAGAGGGGCAACAGTGTTTGCACCCCTTATGCCAAACAAACTGTCGTGAGGTTTGGGGAGCAGATGCCTCTGGTGGAGTCTGGTACCCTTCACTGGCCCCAGCCTTAACCTCAGGGATGACTGGGTCGAGTGAATGGCAAACGTTTATGACCTGCTAAATCTACGAGCCTGATATGCTGGGGCTAGCAGTACGAGCAGCCCCTGATGCATGCGGGATCACAGGGAACTGTGAAATGGGATTCTTTTTTCTCTTGCCCTTTACCATATCCTCACTACCACACTAATAATCCCTGTGCTAGGGTGGCCCAACTGGCCCATTCTCTTGGGCAGCTGCATAGCTCAGCTATGCAAGACCTGCTCAGATGGCTGTTCCCAGACCAAGATTTCTCCTCCTTTTCCTTCTTCTTTGGCTCCTCCTTCACTTCCACACCCTCTTCTCCCTCTCTGCTCCCTTCCTCCTCTTCCTTCTTTTTTTTTCTCACACTATGTCCAGTTTTATTGTTTCGCAGAAGGAGCCTCAACAGGGAATATAATCGCACATATGTCACTGTGTGAAAGAGGTTATGCTCACACACAAACGGGAGGCACAGGACCTTTACATAAACACCTGAATATACAAGGACCTGGCCTCTAGGTCTGTGCAGCAGAGACGCCTGGCTTGCGGGCCTGCAGTGAGTTCCTGCCCCCTCAATAATTGATACATGGAATCAGGGTGCCGACCACAAACATGGTCACAGTGAGCCCCTTCTAGACCAGTTCCTAGCCACTACATACAAGACCTGTGCAGGATAAAGACCATTGGAATTTCCCAAAGATCAGAGGCCCATCCCTGCAAGGTATTTGACATGATTCCTTTCCTACCCAAGGATCGTGCCATTCTGCAGGTGAGAACTGGTCATTAGAGCTCGTGACATCTGGGGACGTGCTCCATTATCTGGAAAGGACCCCCTTTGCAACAGAGTGACACGGCATCGGGCAGGAACCACCTTGGTCTGTTTTGTGTTGCTAAAACATACCGGAGGCTGGATAACTTATAAAGGAAAGAATTTTATGACTCACAGTTCTGGAGGCCCAAGAACATGGTAGTTACATTACTTCGGCTGTGGTGAGGACTTCTCTAAAGACAGCCTGACACAGTGTGACTGTGTGTAAGGAGAGAGAGGAAGAGAGGACACACGGTGAGACAGGATGTGCCCGTTTCTCTTCTAACAACCCCCTCTCATGGACCTCCCATGATGGAGAAAGAATACATTTCCACCAGAAAAACCCTCATCTCTCTTGAGGGCCAAATCACCTTCCACGAGGCCACACCTCTTACTGATTCCAGCACCTCTCAGCATCACCACACTGAGGACCATGCCTTCAGTACGCGAATCACTGGGGGACATGCGTAAACCGTGTCCAAACCCTCGCGGTGACTAGCGGGAAAGACAGTTACCCACTGCTGTGTAACCAATGAGCGCCAATGCGGCAGCTAGGAGCAATGCACAGGGTTCACCTCATGGTTTCCCTGGGTCTGGAATTTAGGCACAGCTCAGGGCTCCTCTGATTCAGGGATTCTCATAAGTCTAACGTCAAGTTGCTGGCCAGGGCTGGGGTCTCACCTGAGGCACAGATGGGGAAGGATTCATTTCCACAAAGGATTGTTGGCAGGATTCAGTTCCTCCCCTAAAAGCCCACTTGTCTTGTCCAAGTGTGCAAACCAAGAAAGCAAGAGAAAGAGTCTGCAGGCAAGAGAAAAACTATGATCTTATGTAAGCGGAGAAGTGTCTTACCATCACCGCTGTCACGTTCTGTTAACTCCCCTCCATGCTCAAGGGAAGGGACCTACACTAGGCGTGGACCCAGCAGATGGGGATCATTAAGTCACTTTACCGGCGTTTGCTGAAAATCACACCCAGCTTTGGCCGTAGTCGCAGATGAGATTCGGCACCCAGAACGTCCAGGGTCCTACACTGCCGGTTTGGGAGGGTGAAACCCAGGCCCTGACATCCCTAGAGGGGGAAAAAAAGGAGTCACTTTGAATGCTGTTTATAACAGCAGTTATTATAAGCAGAGAGGAAGCAGAAAAAAGAGCACCTCCAGAAACTTCAGCAAGATCAGCCTTCGTGAGCAATGTGGAGACACATGTCACATCCCAGATGGACTTTCATCCCAATGATATGTGTGCCGGAAGTGAGAAACAGAGGATAAGATGAAGTGAGAAACTCAGGATAAGATGTTATCACATAGCACACAGTGACAGGCAGTGAGACAAAGCCCGCAGGAAGGTGTGCTTGGCGGTAATTTCTGGTCCTGTGCTTTCCCAAACTACAGGAGGGTGCTTAGTCACCATTTGGAGCGAAAAGAGAAGCCTATTATATGAAAACTCCATAAAGGGATAACATAGTTCCTACCGTCCCGGATGAGGAGTCAGCCCCACCTGCAGCTCGTAGAGTGTTGAGATGTGGAACTCCCCTGCTCTGGAAGCACAGAGCTCTGATCCTAACTCTGATCGTAACTGATCTTTTCTCCAGACCCCACTGTGCCCTTTGGAGACATCCTCACTCTTTGCCTCTTCAGAGTTCCCGTCCTCAGACAGGACTTGTGATTGCACACCTGCAGCACGGTGCTGTGGTTGAAACTCAGAGGTCCTGGGTCTCCCAAATACCATGGAAAGTTTTAAAGCCCATGTCCGTCTGTCCTCTAAGTAGAGCAATCAATGAAGCACCAGTCGAGGGGGTGGCTGCAGCGCCCCACTGGGCCAGAGGAGGGTGACTTTTGGAAATTCCCATACATTATCATGCTTCTCTGCTCGCAGGTCCCTCCGTGGGGCCAAGGTCAGTTAAAGTCACAATCAATCACTAGCTTTTCATGTGTTGCAGGAAATGTGCTAGCACCAGCTCCCCTTTGGAAGAATTCTTAAAAGACATTTAGGAGACAAAGTCAGCTCTCTTCTTTGAAAAGCCCTTTTCAAGAGGTGAGCTCTTCGCACAAGAGGTCAGCTCTTCATCCTTGTGATGAACACCTGAGAATAACAACATCAGGGAGGAAAGGTTGAGTTTTGGCTCAGTTTCAGGAGTTTCCATCCATTCCTGGCTGGCTCCATTGCAGTGGGCCGTGGGGAAGGAGAGTGTCATGGCGGAAGAATGTGGGCGAAGAAAGTGGCTCCCTTCAAGGCAGCCAGGAAGGAGAGGCGGGGCCACCTCCTAACAACACCACATGGCTATGAACTCATGAGCTGATCAATCCATCATGATCCAGTCACCTCCCAAAGCCCCAGCTCACAGCTGCTTTGGGTTCCAAGCCCCAACACTTGAGCCTCAGGGGATGTATTTTATCCAGACCACACCACCTTTCTCCTTCACATTTTCAGGCCAGCTCCCATCCTGTCTCCCTCCAATGCTGACAGCCACATTCTGATCCTCCAGATCAGTCAAACAAGTATCATGTCACTGTGTCTCGGCCAGGTGAGCTGCCATAAGAAAGCCCCCAACGAAGATTAAATTTTCCTAATATGGAAAATTTAACCAAAGTCACAGTCTCTGGGAAAAGAAAACTATACTACCCACCAGTGAGTGGCACATACTTTATTCAAGCTCTTATCCAGGTCCTTTAGAGAAACTGTCAACATTAATCCTCACAACCACTTACAGGGAGATTAATCATGATATATGTGCTGTATAAATGCGGTAACAGTCTTGAAGAAATAAAGAGAAAGGTAGTGGGACCCGTCCTCAAGCTGGTGCCCATTTTCAAGCTTCCTTATCTCCTCCTAAGACAAAGACCAAGTTCCAGATCACCTGCTTACAGATCTGTAAGTCATGCACCACAAATCCAGACTTCCCCTGAAGTTGTAAGTTTTATTTGAATAACTCATAGTGAGGGGTAAAAACAATCTAACTGATTATCTGATGGGGTGAGTCAACAGTTGGAGAATTAAGACAAGCTGGACCTAATTCTTTGAGCCCAAGGAATCTCCAAGACTTACCTCCAAACTATATACAGCAGGTGCCTCTTCCTGCACTATTTACCTGTCCTCTCCTCTCTGAACAGTGAAATCCTCTCACTCAGAAAATAATTCTCTCCTGCTCTGATGACTGAAAAAACCCAAGAAGCCTGCAATTCCCTATCCATAGACAACACCATCCATCTCCTCCAAGGTACTCTGGGTAATCTCAGAAGTCATAGGTGAGCCAGTTTGACTGCTTATTGATACAGGGAATTATGTTTTTATTTCCTTCTCTAGAAAATTAACATCTAGGTCTATAGCCATATTTGGGATTGAGGGGACCCCTGGTCAGAGTTTCTTTACTCTTCCTCTGACATGTCACTTTGAAGGTCAAATGTCTAATCATGAGTTTCTAATTGTCCTCCAGTGTCCTACTCTCTTGCTAAGAAGAGGTTTGCTAGCAAAGCTGGGTACAATTCTCAAATTCTGGAAAAGGTCAACATGAATTTTACTTGTTGAGACTACACCAGGTTCCCCTGACCAAATTAGGCATCTTGATGCATGGTAAAATGGAATACTCAGTGGAATGGAATTCTACCATGCCAGTTGTTTTAAGGCTAAAAGACCCCAGCTGATTTCCTAACTAAAAGCAATATTCAGTCAAAGAAGAAGCACGGGAAGGCCTACAGCCTCTCAGACAAGTTTCTGAAATGTGGCCTCCTAAAGCCTTGTCAGCCCCCTTGCAATACTCCTGTCCTCCCAGTGGTTAAACCCCCAGGAGAATATCCTCCACCAATCTACCCTCCAGGAGCAGATCATACACCACACTCTCCCAAGTTCCAGGGGATATTAATTGTTCTCAGCCTTTTTAGATTTAAGAGACACATTTTTCTCCATCTCCTTACATCCAGACTCCCACTCTCTGTTTGCCTTTGAATGGGAAAATCCCCATTTTAAGAGAAAAGCAGAAGTAGACTTGGGATTTAGAGATGGTCCTCACCTTTTGATGTGAGGAACATAAAGCTTAAACAGGGAATCATCCTAAAGTATGTAGATGACATTCTAGTTTGCAACTTAACTCAAAAATGATCCAACTATAATATTGTACCTACTCAACTTTCTAGCTAGGAAGAGATATAAAGTTTCCAAAAAGGCCAGGTGTGATGTTACATGGCTATAATCCCAGCAGTAAGGAAGCTAAAGCAAGAGGATCACCTCAAGTTCAAGGCCAGCTTGGGCTGCAAAATGAGTTCAAGTCCAGACTGAAATGCATAGCAAAACCTTGTCTCCAGAAAAAAATTGTTAAAGTCTCCAAAGAAAAATCTCAGATATTCCTCCAAAAAATGGAAAATCTGGGATACAGTCTTACATCTGGGAACAACAGCTGTTAGGGACCAGATCCAGGCTGTCTGTGATCTTGGGCCTCCTGCCACCAAACAGCAGCCTCACTCCCTCCTGGTGATGGGTGGCTTTTGTAGGATTTGGCTACCTAAGCTTGGACTAATGGCAAAGACTTTTTATGAGGCTCTCAAAGATCCTAAGTCTGTGCCCCTGCAATGGACAAAAGTGATTGACACTGCTTTCAGGGAACTGAAGCATGCCCCAACTCGACTCCAGCACTAAGAATTCCTGATTAAAGAAAACTTCCTTCCTTTACATATCAGAGGAATTCCTCTGGAGATCTTGACCCAAAAGCTAAGACATGAACCCCACCCAGTGGCATACTCTCCAAAAAGGTTAGATGGAGTGGCTGCTGAATGGCCACTCTGCCTAAGAGTAGTAGCAGCTACAGCTGCACTAACAGAGGAAGCTGCAAAGTTCACTTTGGAACAGAGACTAGAAGTCCTGACTCCCCATCAGGTCAGAGTTATACTAGAGACAAAAGTTTACTTGCAATTAAGAGGGTATCAGCTTACCAAGTATCAGGTCATGCTCTTAAACACCTCTGAGCTTATTATAAAACACACATTACAATTAACCCTGCTCCTTTGATGCATACAGACCCAGAAGTTAGCCACTCATGTGGATAATATTCCAGACTGATTCAACGAAGCAGGACATCAGTGACCTGCTGCTCCACAACACTTAGGTGTGGTTCACCAATGGAAATAGCCTTGTCAATTATCTGTAAGGAACAGGCAGGAACTTGTACAACTCCTAGAGTCAACCCATCATCCCAAGCAGGTCATAGCCATTTACTGTAAAGGGCACCAAAGAGACACGTCTGAGGTCTCCTTGGAAAATCAAAAGGCTAATAAGGAATCAAGAAGGGAAGCCCTGGAGCCCCTCGAGGCCCAAGCCTAATTTCCAGTTCCTGAGGAATCATTCTGGTCCTTCCTCAAGGGACATCATGACAAGCTATAAAAATCCTATGTGGTAAGTGGGCCTCAATCTTTGGGAAAAGTAGAGAGAGCCAATCAGACCCTAAGTGAGCTCTGGCAAAACTTTGCCAATTGATTCCTGAGTCCCGTCTCCAATTGCTGACAATAGTGCTTATGAGGGCTCATAAAATACCCCAAAATGGGCCAAATTGAGCTCATTTGAGATGTAATTTTGGAGGCCATTTCTGTTCTCTGAGGATAGAGGGCCCCAAGACTAGGAGGCTCTTACTATTGGACCAAGTACAACAGGGTAGACAAATGTGTGAGAATAGACTTATGCCAGCTCCTGGCTCATGAAGACCTGTCCATCCCGGAACCCAAGTGCTTGTAAAAGCTTGGAAAGAGAGGATACCCACTGACTCATAGAAGCCAAACCAGGAGGGCCAATTTTCAGCGATCCTTGCCACACCCACTGCAAAAAAGATGAACAGATAATTGGATTCATTTTTCTAGAATAAAGCCAGTCCTGTCTGAACTGTCTGAAGAACAAGGTCACCCAAAAGGAGACTGCTACTCCTGTCAGCCTCTGGAAGGCTTCTGATTTCTCATCACAAAGCAGGACTCTGCTGTGGCTATGGGAAGCCTGGAAACTGGGTCTGCTTCTCACATTTGGGCGAGCAGTATGGCTTGATGTTCACTACCTCTTTTCTTATTGTTTCCTGGCAGGGTTTTCCTTCTTCAA